AGAAGCCGCAATTTTAATGCGTCGCAAAAGGATATGTACGTCGTTTCGTGGTGTCTTGTTATGTCAGCGTTTGTATGTATGCGTTCAATTTTAATAGATAATTTCGTCACTCTCGTTGGAGCAGCTTTCAAGAGCGGTTCAGCGTTATGTCAAAATTCACGTCGAATTTGTAATGTATTCTGTTTTCCTCTTTTGTTATGAAGAATATGTAGCAGTTTGTTATTGGTTTTGTGGCAGTAAATGCTTCAATTATTAATGTTTTGAGTGAGGATTGGAGGACATCCTCGTTTTGTTTTTTTTTGTTCCCGCTTTTATCCAAGGCTTTTGGCAGTTTGGGGATGGAGGTTTTCGTGATCAGAGAGAGTGGAGCCCTCAGTTCCAGTTATGGTTTCAGAAACTTAAGTGTGATCATGTGAATTAAGGTAACATTTTGTTCAAATTTTAAACTAAAGACAGACATTTTTTTTATAAAATTATAATTGCTTTCGTTGACATTTAAAATTGTAAATTTTAGGTTTTGAGTAAAGCTGTCAATTTGTGTTTAGTTTTTTTTTAAATTTAATGTTAATTTATGACATCGCGTTTTATTATTTTTTGATTTTACTTGGTTTTGTTTAAAAAAAAATTTGTAAGTTTTTCCATGCAAATTTTGTAAGTTTTGTAGCAACAGAGTTTGTAAGCGGATGACACATCTAAGTTTTTGTGTTTTGTTTTTTTCCATGTAACTGTTTGTGGTGACACATAAATAAAGTTTAAATTTTGTTGTCTTAACTTTTTATTTATTTTTTTGAGCCAAACCTTTTTTGATTCTTATTTGAAAAAGATATGTTTTTTATGTTTTGATTTTGTTTTCTAATTATTTCCCTAGTTACAACTAGTGGTTGTAATAGGCATAATTAGGCACCTCAAGTGGCGCCCTATATTAAATTCCTTGAGGTGTTTCTTGTTTATTTTTATTTTGTTTGTCCCAAGAGCCCTTTATTTCATTTTTTTGTTGTTGCCCCATTCCAATGCCGTTATCTTTTACTTATCCACGACCCCAGCTCTCCTACGAAACCCTGAGTGCCGTTCGCATCAGTAGCGATTATTTTGCTTGCCCTATCTCCACCCCCAATAGTTTTTTCCCTTAATTTTCTATCTCCCGTATTAATGCCCCCTGTGGTAGGCAAAATATTATCGTTACAAGATATATATATATATAAATATATATATATATATATATATATATATATATATATATATATATATAAATATATATATATATATATAGGGTTGCAGTTTTTTAACATCCCGGCCAATATTCTGACTGCAACCCTAATAAACTGTGTTATTTGTATATATACAGTGTAGGTAAAATTTTATGGTCGGTATGGTAAAACTTAACAGGATATCTAACACAGATATAAAATCATATTTTCAGCGAATAGACAAAGATAACAATCATATTCCCCCTTGGTCTCCCCTCCATAAATCTTCTTGACGCCCATTGCCTGTTAGTGAGACGATTAGTTCCGATCAGAGATATTTTACATATTCTGTGGTTCTGATCCTCATAAAGCTAAGAAACTAGAGGTGGGTCCTCTAGTTTTTTAAATTTTTATCGGAACCGTTTTTCGTAAACTGTAACTAGTTGATTGTTTACCAGTATTTAAATTAGCGAGTACACAAACATATTCGCTATTATCGTTTATGTGTATAAGTATTGAAGTGAAAGAAACTAACGAAGAATATATTTATTATAACTTGAAAAATAAATTAAACAATACAAATAGTACTTACATTTACATGGACTTAAGTCATCTTTATCAGTTTTTTTTTCTTGTACTAGTTAATTTTCAATAGTATAATCTTCTTCTTCTTTTTTTTATAGAAGTAACCAGCTTCAACCATCAACTAGTTGATTTTAAAGAATTTAACCGAAAATTTAGAGTTTAACACGGTTTTATTAGGCTGCTGCCATTTTTCTGGAAACCATAATTCAGAAAACATCGCTTTTAAAATTAGTGAAATTATTATTCAGTGGGGTCTAAAACAAAAAGTAAATTTTGCAGTAACTGATAATGCCTCAAATATGGTCATAGCTATTAAATATGTTTTGGAATGAAAACATTTAAATTGTTTTGCTCATACGTTAAATTTATTGATGGAGGACGCACTTAAATGCTGTCGTGTACAAATAGATAAAATAAAAAGTCTTTTTTTCGACAATTCGGCAAAAAACACATTTCAAAAAAGTACCTTATCTTCAGAAACGCTTTTAAAGTATCAATTACAACATAACAAAGATCCCAAACGGCCAATCCAAGACGTGGAAACTAGGTAGAAACTTCACCTATTACATGTTAGAAAGAATGACGGAGTTAGAAGAGGCAATCCGTTCCACATTGGTATCAGTTAATACAGATTTAGACTTAGACCAAATCTAAATAATGAAGACTGAATTATTTTTTCGTAATTGTCCCAAATTTTACGGCCTTTTAAAGAAATAACAAGTACAATGAGTGACCAAAAATACTTGAATGATAGTTCAGTGATTGTTCTGGTACGCTGCCTGCAAAAATCTTGCAATAAAATTTTAGCAAACAGTAACCTTACATCCATAGTATCCGACGTAGTACGGGTTTTTATTACTAATTACGGGATAATTACTAATCTCGGGTTTAGCAAAAAGATTTAGAGGGATAGAATACAGTGGCATATTGTCATTATGTACGTTTATGGATTCACGATTTAAAGTGCAGGGATTTTCTGATAAAAATGACGATAAAAAAACAAAAGAAAGAGTTAAGAAGCTGGTTACTTCTATAATTAAAGAATAAGAAGATTGTACTATTGAAAATCAACCAGTATAAGAAAAAGAAACCGATAAAGATGACTTAAGTCCATTGTGTATTTTTGATCAATTAATTGGACATGACTCATCTAAACGTACACCTGTAGCGAGAGTCCATTACAATGGTGGAAAAACCATCGCCATGTATCTCCTAACTTAACCACTATATTCATAAAGTATTGTAAATGTGAACACATGTTCAAAATCAGGTTTAATTTTAAATAAAAGAAAAACACGGTTAATAAGAAGTAAAGTAAAAAAACTTTTGTTTTTAAATGTCAATTTAGACGATTCGTGATTTAATAATAACGTGTAATGTAAACGTAGGTACGATTTACTATTTGTATTGTTTAGTTTAGTTTTCAAGTTATAATAAAATCTTTTATTAGTTTCCTTCACTTCAGTAAATATACACATAAACGATAATAGCCATTATGTTTCTTTATGTAGGTAGTTTCTTACTTGAAACTACTATTAAAAAATCATAGTTACTTGTTTACGAAAATCGGTTTTGCGACGTCAATGACCCACCTCTATTCGTAAATACCTGTGTACGCCTTGATTCGGTGATTTGACCACGCGACACGCCACATTGGCAAATAGTTTTGTACGAAGCTTTTTTATTTATATGCAGTTTAATATTTTTATTGGAAATAAGGCATAATGTCACTTTAAAATAAGCTTATTTTGATGTTTAGATTTTTAATTCGGAAATCGTTTTTAAAATACCAAACATTAATAAATTTTGTTTATATAAAACGATTTCCGAAGTATAAATCAAAATGTTATATTACACTTATTGTAAAGTAAAATTGTGGCATATTCCCGATAAAAAACAATAAGCTGCCATTTAAATCCATTTCGCCCAAATTTCATTATCTTGGAGCATTGTTCAAATGCGAAAAAGACAACAGGTCAAATAAAACCAATAAGTTTGGCAACGTTGAATTTCCCCTTTTTATTATATCCACTCCATATCCACTCATTTATTTTCGGTGATATAAAAGGCGGACACCTAATATATCTCTCTCTTTTTAAACAGTTGTTTCTCACTCCATCTCATGTAAGGTCCATACCGACCATAAACTTTTACCTATACTGTATAATATATATATATATATATATATATATATATATTATATATATATATATATATATGTATGTATGTATATATATAATATATATGTATATATATACATATATATATATATATATATATATATATATATATATATATATATATATATATATATATACAGGGTATCCAAAAACTCTCATGACAAACGAAATCCGTAGATTCCTCAAATAATTTTAAGACAATTACCGTTTTGGGTATATCAACTGTCATTTTACCGCATACCTTTTTTTAAGCATTCGTGATACTATATTATAAAATTTTTAGGTACTTTAGTAATAAAAGATAATCCTACTTTCAAGTCGGTAGGATACACCATTTTCTAGAAAAATCGATTTGAAAATTTTTCATTTTTTCGTCATGAAAGTTAAATTAATAGTTTTTTGCACTAGTTGGATTTGAACTGTCAACAGAAGACGAAATAACGAAAAATTTTCAAATCTATTTTTCTAGAAAACGATGTATCCTACAGACTTTCAGTAAGAGTATTAAAATTATAATCCCTAAAAAGTTAATAATTTAGTATCACGAATGCCTAAAAGTTAAAGACAAAAAGGTTATGCGTTGAAATAACCATTAGCTTACCTAAAACTAACACCTATGACCGGTACTAAAAATTCGCAATTTATATAATCGATTTAACTCTAGACGATAAATAATCATGCCAGTTTTCGTTTTGTTATATCGAAAAATTCTGGAGGTATTTAAAAAAAACTAATTGCAAGCAGTCATCTTTAAAGATATATACCTCCCTTAGGAAGCATTTTCGGACTAGGTGAATTGGGTTGAATGGTATTAAAATTTTCTGTGGAACCTTTGGTCCTCGTTTGTCAGGAGAGTCTCTGGACACCTTGTATATATAGAGTTCTTTTATTGGAATAATAATATTTACAACACCTATGCACTACCTATCTACTCGCCCCCTTGTAGATTCATAGACGTACGCTAATGAATTGTTTTAAAACCGACTAATCTATTCGTCATTTATAAATATAAATAAAAAATTTGAGAATATATTAACAAAGCTCTAATATTTAGTGATAGTGGCAGTCTAAGATATTTTAGTAAAGATGAAACAAGTTGCTGTGATTTTTGTTTTGTTTGTTTTTCTTCACTGTGTGTGGACACGCAATACTCCACCACCAGGAAGTACATTTCCTCCAGGAGGTAAGACAACTTAAACAACTTTGAATCGTCTATACATCTCTCTAAATCCAGTCTTTTTTATTCTACTGTCTCTCTCTTTACACCACCGTTTTGATGTAGTGTTTTACTCTCCAGACATTCATTTTCGGTTTTCCTTCGGGTTTCTGGTTCATTGATACTGTAGTTGTATTTTTTTTTCTTATTATTTCTTTATATCTTATTTCCTATTATTTCTCAGTGTTATCCATTAATTCCTTCTGTTACATCTCTTATGGTCTTCAGACTTCAATGTTTTATATTATATAATTATGTAAATTAATATTCATGACAGCATCATCATCTAGATAAACGTCGAACGATTCATAAGATGGGTTAGGATACCTATTGATGAACTTTGTGTGTTAAACATTTAGAATTTTTATTTATCGCTCTATGATTGTGTTTGTTTTTTGTTTTGCTTTGAGTACAATAAAGATTTAGTTTGGTAGTTGAATCTAATGGGTTAATGGTAAATGATGCCCCTGCGACAATATAAATCAATAAAAGAGATGAAGATAAAGGTTTTATTGATTATTTTTGTTTGGAATTTTATTTGAATGAATATTAAGAGGTGTTAGGAGATTAGTTAGGGTTATCTACCATTTAGTGTGAGTTTTGCTTGTATAATATAATTGGGAAACTTAAATAAGTAAGTAAGTAGAAAAGTAGTCCCCCCTCCCTAGTGATTAAGTAAATTGTATAATATTGTTCAGTTTGAGTATGCTATAGATTCTAATATCTTAGCTATAGATCACTTTCATTTTTTAACGCCTGATTAACAAAAGTTTATTACCTTATTAATTCTCGTGATGTAATAAAAAATATGAACTATTATTCGTCATTTTTATCCATATTCATTAAGTTCTAAACAAATATTTCACCCAAGTTCCTCTAATGATCTGTCATGTTCATTTTTTGGGGAATATTATGTCAGGTGTACTTTAGTATTTTGTTTTTTTTTGATTTTTTTTTTCAGTAGGCAAAGTGTCTTTCTTTCTTAGCTATCTTTCAAACAGTTACATTCACATTTTTTGGGTCGCCCAATGCTTTCGTACAAAGTTTTCCGTTCTTCCAACAATAAACAATATTAATATAATATCACCAGAATAGACAAGGATTTGCACTGATTTAATATATATATATATATATATATATATATATATATATATATATATTATATATATATATATATATATATTGAACCGTTGATTGAGAGAGGGTTTCCTTGGCCAAATCCGTTGTTTGTTTTAAACGTTCAGACAGTTTTCTCTGGATTCGTACTCTACATTCAACATTTTCAAGAGTTAGTTTCGTTAAATTTACCAACTAATTTGGTATTCCAAGCTCTTTTATTGCTTTGAACATTTCTCTTCTATTTATTGCTTTGTGGTCTATAAATATTTGATGAGTCTATATGGCATCTTGAAGTGTTTTTTCTAAAATGTGTCTTAGGGTTACAATCTGATGAATTTTCGATTTACCACCTCTTACTTACCTCCTTAACAGCAATTATTAGTAGAGTCGGTACACTCAGCGTGGGAATATTTTGACAGAATCATTGTCGGAAACATATAACACAAAATTCCTATCAGACTTGGAAAGTAAAATTAATATTGGTTATGAGCAAGTGAGCACGTTGTAAAGGAACTTTCAGCCAGTTCCGATCAAAGTCAAAATTAAATTAATTATACCTACCAAATTTAATAGACGAGATTAGTGAACCCAATATAATAAGTTTCTAATCAGTTGGTTATACTGAAACGACACAGAAATATCATTCGTGACGTGCTACTTCTTTAATAGAAAACAATGTTGTATATTTGTCATATGAGACAAAACAGTCGATATTAGGTAACCTTCATGATAGTCCTATTTTTATATTATTATAAATCTCTATTTTATATGTTCTGTAGGTGAGCACAAGTAGTATAAATTCAAGAACATAAGAACCTAGAATATATGACCAGATTGCCAAAAGACAAAAAATATGGCGTGGGGATAAATATGAACAAAACTGATTATATGTGTGTGGGAAAAACGATACTTAATGATAGAGAACGTATACAATATAACCATACATACAAATATTTAGGCATTTTACAGATGGTGAGGACCTGGATGAAGTTATAAAAGACAGAAATATGCAAGGACAAAAAGCCATAAAAATGATGAACGAGGATGAATTCTGTGGGACAAAATATTCCAAAGAAAACAAAAGAGATCGAATAAGGAGTGACGAGATCAGAACAAAATGTAATGTACAGGGTATAAACGAGTGGACACTAAACATAAAAAAAATGGAACAATCACATCATTAGAATGGCGTCCACAATAGTCGTTAAAATAGAAAAGGACAAATCACCAAGTGGTAGAAGTAGTATTGGTCGACCGCACAAGAAATGGAGTGACAATCTTCCATAGAGGCAACAACCCATCAATGACAAGCAAAATTGCTTATATAAGAAAAAACAGAAAAAGAAGAATAAAAAAACACAATGGTTGACCACATAAAATACAAACAACTGAAGTGTAACGGTCATGTTTAGATGATGAGAGAAGATCAATTACCAAAACAGATACTAGACTAGATACCACATAAGGAAGAATTAGAAGACGTAGACTACGAACAAGTTGGAAAAAGGCAGATAAATGAAACGGAACAAGGGCAGATAAATGTGGACATGCTAAACATAGGCTCTTCGTTGTATTTTTAGCTCCATTTCACTTGCTCCGATTTCATCGAGTTTAGAGCTTCTTAAATCGTCAGTTGCTCTCAGAGCAACCACAGAAAACATGGAAAGACTCATAATACAAGGAAAGGTAGAAGGCCGAAGATCACGAGGAAGACCCCCAACAGGATGGATAGATCAAATTACAGGAGTATGCCAAAGACCTATGCATGAATTAAAAGAAATGACCAGAGACAGAGATCTCTGGAGACGGACAATACACGACATCACGTCGACCACTACACTCCCCCTGGGGGGTCAGGATTGAAGAGAGAGAGAAATCGTCAGTCCTGAGTGACTGACGATTTAACCTATATTTTTACTAATTACTCCCTTTTATAAGAATCAATTACTTGTTCAATTCTAATTTTAATTTTTAACTTACTTTAATATTAAACAATAAGATAAACTGAATATAAACGTATATTACTTTTAGGTATCGATTGGCAAAACTGCACCAAACCCAACGAATACTACAACTGTGGCAGCCCATGTCAAAGAGAATGCAAAACTTTAAATCAACCTTGTTTGATTGCCTCCTTCAGATGTGTTGACGCTTGTTATTGCATCAAAGATTATGCTAGGGATGACAACCAAAACTGTATTCCGGAGAAGGACTGTAATAAATAAGTTTTTTGGTTTTTTGTAAAATAAACAGATTATTAGCTAAGGGGAGTTTTTATTTTAAAAACTGTAATTTTGTGCTCGTGATCTATCTATTTAATGGAACTATAGCCTAAATAGGGCCTTGGTCTCCATCAGTAAGCTGCTCCAAAGGTCCCGATCTACTGCTGTTCTTTTTCATGAATATTTTTTCGGAGGATTTTGGCATCTTCAACTGCTTCGTCCTTCCATCTCTTTTGTGGTCTTCCAACAGGGCTTATCAACCCTCAAGCATGCAATCACGTTTCCTGTTCACTATAATCGCTGCAGCCTAGTATGTTATGCTAATACTTTGTACAGTACGAACTAATTATTCGTACATTTCTTTATTATATTTATTCGCTAGTTTTATTTTCACTGATTGGGCTCAGTATCATCCTTAATATTTGAATATGACATATATGATCGTTTTGTGAAATCAGCTTTATTTGCAAGCATAAGCCTTCTATTTATTTCAGATTCTTCTTCATTATTTCCGACCAGGTCCAGTTCTAAGGACGTAAATGTGTTCACGTGTATATAGTATTGTATATCATCTATAGAGTGTTATTGTTGCGCTTATCTTTTTTATCTGGTTTGTACGAGCAATTGTGTCTTATTTATATATATATATATATATATATACATATATATATATATATATATATATATATATATATATATATATATATTGCTAGCCTTACAACTTCTACACTTTGTTTAAATTCAAAGTCAGTCTCTGCCTTATCTTTTATTTTATTCGTTATGTTGATATCTGTGTACTGCCAATTGCATGGATTTTTTTGTATGTTATTTGAGCTAACCGCCAATCGTCTAATTACATATTCAGGAACAAGATTGAAATAGGCTGGACTCAATCCGTCGGCTTCTTTCAGTCCTTACGTTATCATAGACGCATCAGTCATCTAGCCTTGACCACATATAGTTGCAGTAGTCCTTAGTTTTTTTATAGATATTTTCACTTCATCTACCTAGGGGGCTTCCACGAGTTCCTTATTTCGGTATTCCAGCTCTATATTGTTAGTAGGTTCTCCTTCCGAACCCGTGCTCTACCCATCGAAAGTGCTCTACCCATCATAAAAGGATATCCTCTTTGTTGGTAAGTAAGTTACCTTCCTTATCATTACAACAGTTGATTCTTGGTTTAAATTCTTTTTTAATAATATTTATTCGATGATAGAACTTTCTTGTTTCTCCGTGACTCATATAGCTTTCGAGCCGTTTTAATATGTCATTTTCCGAGTCTCGTTTCTTTTTTCGGTGCATGCGTTTTTCCTCTCTCCTTAAGTTTTTGTATCTATCTATTGTTGTTCTAGTTTTTCGTTGTTGCATGGTCCTAAATGCCTCGTTCTTTTCATCTGTTATTTTTTTAAGCCTACTTTTTAAGTCAAATTATCAGTTGAAAACAGTCTTTGTACACCAATTTGACATTATAACAATTGATATTTTGCTTAATTGTAATATTTCATAGAAATGATAATTCAAAATTTATCAATTGAACTTCATACAAAAACTCTACTCTTTTTTATTTTGAATTTTTGTAGACGCCCTGTATAAATATTATATTTTTTTTTACCTACTCTTCACAAAAAATTCTAGATTGTTTTAAATATAATGGAATTTAAACTTATAATTTTTAATAATCTTTTACAATAAATAAGTTGAAAATAGGTTTTTAGGCAATCATAAAAAATCACTGAATATTCCAATATACATTACAAGGGTGTTGATCGTGAAAATCAGTAAAAAAAAAGTGAAACAGAAGAAGAGTGAATTGTCAAAAATCAATTTCGGATTTGGAAAGAACAAATTTTCTAAATTTTGAACTGCCCCCATGTTATACATCAACATTTAAGTCCTGCGAACAAAAAGTTGTACAAATTTTACTTATTTTTAATTTAGAAGTATGGCTTTGCGTTCACACCATATGAGGTATTTTAGGTTATGTTCGTACATCAATAACTTTGGTTTTGTAAGATTTTCTTCCACCGCTGGAGCCTCTAAGGTAATATAGTGTATTACAACTGTTTAAAAAGTCTGACCCATTGTTTTTATTAGAAAGGATTAATTTTGGGAGTTCGTACCAGTAGTACTGATGAAGCTATACTAACTCCGGCAGCAACAAAATATAATGAAATAACTCAAGGAAAACTCTTACAACAATTCAAACTGTAAGTTTTAAAAGTTAATAGGTCATTTTATATACTTAAATTAAATTCTACGTACCTTATACAACTGTTGTAGACATTTGCATGTAGGTATTCTTGAAAATACAAAAAATTGTTCTTCCTTTGATGCAGAAGCAGTATTCTATTATAAGATAGAAATTATATTATTATGGTGCCTTATAATCAACAAAACTTGGTGTTACATTAACAGGTCTAAAATAGATTTCATACATATGTACTTGTGGAATTGCAGAATGTTTCTTAGACATCTAGAAACAATATTTTGTATTTTTGAAGTACATAATTAAAAATATTCAAAAATAAAACAAGATAGAAGCAAAAATTTTTCAAAATTATATTTCATAAATAAAGGTAAAGATAGTGCAAACACTCCTGACCTACGAGCTGCACGAAGGTGGAGTCAAAATTCACATAAAGACAGGAAGGTTCTATTGTAAGTGGAATTATACAGTGCACAGTACAATGCGTTTCGCATGGAAGTGGGGACTAAACAAAATTTCGTCTACTGGGCTGTGGTCAGGAGTGCTTGCACTATCTCTACTTAAACTCAAACGACATGAAATTATAAAAATTAAATTTAATACTGTATCCCAAAGGTGATTATTTAAAGAATGAATAAAAAATAATTTATAATAATTTCTAAACATAAAACTAGAACAAATATTTAAACAATCCGCCATTTTGTACTAAGCATTATCCCAATTAATTATAAAATTCTTGTCTAATATTAGCCAGAGCATGTAGCATTATTTTTGTGCACTCTTCATTAATTCGCATTTTCAATGCTTGAATATCTGTATATTTTTTACAGAATAAATTTTGGATTTTAGTAGTTGCCCCTAGATAAAATTTATTCTGCAAGTGTCAGTAAAATGTCTTTATGTAGCAAGTCCAAAATTTCTAAATTTAAAATTTCCTTATGGAAAAATGGTTCAATAATATTGTGTCTCAATATTTCTAACCAGACAGTTATTTTGTGATGATATTGGGTATTGTTTTCAATAATATCCTCAGACTTTCTTGTTGACCAAAACCTGTAATTTTGAACATTTGGTTCATTATATAAAATAAATGTACACTACACAAAATGTTTTTTAAAAATTGTCTGTCTGCATTAGCTCTAAAATTTTATAATGAATTTACGCATGTCTCTCAGCATCTCAATCTCTTAGTTTTTGATGACATTGAAATGTATAAGAACAGAATTAATTTCTTTTCGAAATTTTTATGGTTGTGGAATTATGAATGTCAAATTGGTCTGCAATGGTTCAAGAACTTATTGTAGGATTTTCAACTACTGTTGTTAACAAATTCATTTTTTTTTATTTTATAAATTTCTTTATACCTCAGCAATATTTTTTGTAAAGGTACAATTAGGAATCATGTCTTAGTATTTTAAATTTTTTTTAAAGCCTTTGGATTGTTGAATGACTTGGAATTGGTGTAATGGGATATCTTATGCTAAATAAAGAACTGACTGAGTACATTTTATCATCTTTATTGATTTTTAGACAATAAATCATAAAATAAAAATATTGACACTTCAAATATTGTTAATATCTAACTTCATTGTGACCACATTCAACCCATTATACACATGCTGCACTACTTGTGGCCTAACATTTACAACACTTTAGAAAGGTATTGTATTTTTTCACAATTTTGGAATGTTTTCAATTCATAGAACAATCTTAACATTTGTTTTCAATGCAGATTTCAGTCCTTCAATTTCTCATGACTTCTGATGTAAAATAATTAGAGAAACAGGAATTCAACAGTTTAGAATTTCCCTTTGAGATTTCTTTAATCTGTTTCATGATTCACCACCCTGTATACACATAACTACATAACATGATAGATATTTTATTTATCTATCTGTGTCAATACAATATGTTATTTTTAAACAAAACTTCCACCGAATTAGCTGAATAGAATTTTTCATATAGAGGAACCCCCTCTAGAGATAATGAGGAAATATGTAGTTCTTCTGGTATTAGGTGCAATTTTTGTGGTGTGGACTGATCCTGAAAGGACATAAGAATAATATAAAAACAATATTTAACAATTAATATTAATGTTATGATATATTTTAGAAAGACTAAATAATCCAAATCTATTTTTATTTCTTATTCATAGCAATGAACAAGAAAGAAAAATATTGCATTCTTAAATATCTTGTGAATGCAAAAATGATGATTTCAGTGAAATGTTAGTGGAAAAATAAAAGTTAGTCTCACATAAAAAATAATGTATCTGATAGATCTCAGATATGCAAGCATATGTGCTACACTGCACATGTCTGTAAAGTTAGCAAATCCATTTTATAAGGCCAAATTCAGACCAACACTATAATTTATTGCTAATTTATTACAGAAAGAAAAAAATTGTTGCTGTAGACATTTCCTCCGAGAGACAGTGTGTATGCTAACTTTATGGTAAAGCTAGCATAGCTATATCTCGGCAAGAAAAAGGGGTACAGGGCACCTCTTGGCAGCATATTTTATTGCTAATAATTGTTGTTGATTAGTATATTAATCATTCCACAAAAGCTACCCCATCATCCCCTAGCTTATAACACACCCCCGGAAAACATAGATATCAGTCAAAAACGAACCGCAAGGAATTGATAGCTAATTTATTGTCGAAGTTTTATGCCAAGAAACAATTAATTGCTGCAACCATTTTCGAGAAACAATGATTATGGTAAATTCAAGGCATGAAACAGACGTAATAAACTGCAGAAGTTATAGAGGCGCACACATAGACTCATTGCCTAGTGATCTCAAGATTTGACTAGAATTTCTAGAGAGATGCGACAATTGCAGAACAATACTTGGAAAACATCACCAACAGGCTAAGGAATCAAAATGTAAATGAAGAAGGTCAGACAGATATAGACTCCTACTGAGATATATATGACCAGAATAAAGGAAGACATTGAGGCAGCAGCGAATGATGAAATAGGAACAGAAATTTCTGCCCTTAAAAATCATTGGTTTGACGTTGAATGCAAGAATGCAACAAAAGAAGAAAATGAAGCTTACAGAAATATGCTTACCCGACGAACTAGAACAACTGTAGATAATTACCAGACAAAGAGAAGAGAAGAAAAGAGGATACACAAAAGAATAAACGAAACCACCAAAATATAGAACTAAATATATAGGAAACCTTAACAGAGAGAAAGAATTCAGAGCATACTATAAGAAAGTTAACATCAACAGAAAAGAATTCATTGCAACCACAAGACAATGCAGAAGTCAGAATGGCGACCTACTAACAACAAGGAAAGATTTATTAAGTAGATGGGTGGAATATTTTAACCAGGCACTTAATGTGGAGGAAGAAGAAGAAAACCTGGTAGACGAAAGAGATGAGGTAAGAGGAGCAGACGAGAGGGAAGAGAAACCACCAAAGATTCTTGCAGTTAAAGATGCAGTTAAAAAACTAGCCAGAAACAAATCACCCAGAATAGATAATCTTCCAGCCAAACTATATAAAGAAGGTGGCTATGATACCATTATGGCATTACAGCAGCTTATAAAAGAAATATGGACACAGAAATCCCTTCTCAATGATTGGAATATTGGAATGTCTTGCTCTAACCTCAGAGGAATTACGCTTAAACAATACTATGCCACTGTATGGCACGATACGGAGAACAGGTAGTAGGAAAATACCAGGCTGGTTTCAAAGGTGGTAAATCTACAATTCATCAGATTGCAACCCTGAAACTCATTTTGGAAATAACACTGAAATATGGCATTAATACTATCACATATTTATAGACTACACAGCACTCACAGCAGCCTACGACTCAGTGAATAGAAGAGAAATGTTCAAAGCAATGAAAGATGCTAGGAATACCAAATCAGTTGGTAAATTTAACAAAACTAACTCTTGAAAAAGTTAAATGTAGAGTATGAATTTAGGGGGAACTGTCTGAACCTTAAACAAATCATGAGCTGTGCCAGGGAGACCCTCTCTCCTGTATACTGTTCAATCTAGCTCTGGAAAAAGTAATATGTATGTCAAAAATCAGAACCACTGGTTCAAAATATAATAAATCGGTGCAAATCCTGGCCTATGCTGATGATATCAATATTGTTGGGAGAAGGGAAAACGCGGTACGAGAGTCGTATGTAGTATTAAAAGAATCAGCTACAAATATGGGTTTAATAATAAACACCAACAAAACGAACTATATGAAAATAAGCACGCAACCACAAATCCGACGACCACTCGTTATAGAAAACGACGTTTTTTAAGGGAGCGCTCCTTAACACTGAAAATAAACTACCGCAGATATAAACCGCAGAATTTGCACGACCAACAGATGCTATTTTGGGTTTAATCTCCTTATATCCACAATTATATCGAGAAATACAAAAATAAACCTTTACAAAACAATAGTACGCCCAGTCCTAACATATGGTTCAGAGACCTGGACTCTAACAAAAAAATAATGAAAACATGTTAGGATGTTTCGAAAGAAAAGTACTAAGGCGAATCTATGGAGCAATGAATGACAATGGAGTATGGAGAAGACGATACAACTTCGAACTTTATAGAATTTACCAGGAACCTGATATCGTAAAACATATTAAGATAGGACGCCTGAGGTGGATAGGACATGTGATGCGGATGGAACAAAATGATCCAGCTAGAAAAACGCTCCTTGACAGAATCATTGGCCAGAGAAGAAGAGAAAAACCCAGAACAAGGGTCCTTGATAACATCGATGAAGACATGAGAAATATGGGAATACGTGATTGGCGGAGAAAGGCGATGGATAGGGACCACTGGAGAGAAATTCTTGAGGAGGCTAGGACCCACGCAGGGTTGTAAAGCCAGAATGAATGAATCAATGAATGGTAAAGCTAGCATAGCCATAACTATATCTCGGCAAGGAAAAGGGGTACAGGGTCCATATAATTGACGACATATTTTATTGCTAATTCATTTCTGTTGATTGGTATATT